AAGGCCCCCCCCCCCCCACAGTGAGGGAAGGGGCAGGGGCAGGCACTGCCCAGGTGAGGCAGGGAGAGGGCTGGAGCCACAGCTCTTGAGGGGGTGGGGGGAAGAGGCAGCTCCCACCATTACTTGTACTACAGGAGGGCGTGTTCCCCAGATCTGCATGGGGCAGGCTGCAGCTGGGGCTGTGTGGGGCTCTCCTTGGTGAGGGCTGGGCTCAGAGCAGGCACCAGCGGTGCTGGGAGGATACTGCATCCACCCCAAATTTCACCGCCACTCCGCTCCCAGCGCCACCACTGCCAGCCGCAGCCCTGCCTCCACCCACATATCTGGAAGTTCCAGGGCAGCACTGGGAGCTGAGCTGCAGCAAAATTTGGGGTGGATGCAGCATCCTTCCAGTGCTGTGTGCAGCACAAGCATTTATCGGCCAAATTATCAGCCCCATCGAGCCGATATCTGATGCAGCAAATTTTCTTTATATTGGTACTGATCTGATATCAGACCAACATATCGGTGCACCTCTACATAAAAATAATTGAATTTAATAAAGTAGATGAAATTATTCTATGCAACATTAATTTTAATACTTATTTATCTTCATTATAACTTGCAGCTAATACAATCGCTCTGATTCAGGATGCATAACATTTAGGTTGAATTATTGTAAACTTGGTTTCTTTGATTGAGAGTTTCATCAATTGTCACTGGAAGTTGACAAGTAAACAAGTAAACCAGTTTACTTCTATCATTTAACAACGTGTTGTATTCTCTCTTCTGTCTCCTCCTTGCTATTCTGCGTTCTTTTATTTTCACTTTTTCTAGTATAACCCCTTTCCCTTTTCCCATTTTCCTGATGTCCTCTACTCTTCTGTCTCTTCAGTAGAAAATATATTTGCAAATTCTTACACTTTCCACCATAATTTTTCTGTTGACTCTGTGAACTGAAAGGTATCACAGCAAATCATTCCATGACAAGAATTACTACCTCACAGAAGAGGTCCTTGTCCTGTGGTCTCTGGAATCCATTACCCAACCAACATGGCTTTCTAATGGAGGGTTTGTACTATGTCGTGTTTTCCTTTTCCTCAGAGTCTGAAAAAAAATAAAAAAATAAAACGCTACTATTTTTCCTTGGTATGAATACATTCATTTTACTGAAACTAAAATTTCACAAAATACTTTCAGGAATACTTTTATCTTCAACCAAAACAAAAGTTTATCAAATTGTGTATATTGTATATAGCATATTAAAAGTCCTAGAAAATCATAGGGCAACAGCTTCAGAAGTCAAGAACCTGGTCTTAACTAACAAATTCATTATCTTTAGATATATTACTTTCCATTGTGGATTTTTAACAACCTCAAGGATGCAATATTTTGGACAAAAGAAAACACCCGTAAGACAATTTTTTATACGTAGTAGTTAAGCCATTAATTCTTGTAAATAAAATAGTTAAATTAACTAACAATGCTGTTGCATTGTATTAGGACATGGTTATTCAGGACAAAGCTTTATACACAAAGTTTTTCTCTTGACCTTTACATCAATGGATTTTGCTTCCTTAACCACAGGATAGAATCTTGGCGTTTTGTTAGGATCTTGGAGCCGTGGGGTCCGAGGCGTTTTGGGTGTTCTAGCAGGATGAACTCTTGGAGATTCTGGGACCGCTGTTGGCAGTGAACGAGCCACTGCGGTTGGAGGTACTTCTACAACAAACAGTTTACAAGACAGTTCATCTGTTAAATCTGTAAGCAGAAAAAAAATACTAAAATTATTAAGATGCAAGGGAGATCTTAAAATTTATTTCTATTTTGCAAAATAACTACTAAGCTTCAGGCACATTTTTCCCAAAAAATATTAAATTAACAGATGAGAAGAGGGAGATTTATTTATGAAGCCTATAGTTCTTGGTATCTTACTCCACATGCATCCAATTTATCCACTTTCATTTATAAGAATCTTCTGTTCATCAAGACATGCATTTTGTGGTTGAAAAGTGATGCATGGAAAAGTGTAAAACTCCCAACTTTTACAGCACAAAACTTCTCTTTGCTGAATTAACACCTCCTTGAAAATCTCTTGCACCTTAATCACTGTAACCTTTTGTCCACACAACTACCTCCACTTTATTCAAAATAGTTCAGGTAACCAAACCAAAACATCGCCAGTTATTCCCCACACCTGACCATTACTGCTTATGTAACATGCTGAAAGACTATGTATGCATATATTTTTCCTTTTATTAGATTGAACAATATTTATTTCACAGAGGTATCTAATAGGTAAAAGTTCTTCTAAGAGCCCCAGTAGATGCCAGTCTGCCTTTTTTGGCATGTACATATATCATTCAGAAACTGGTCCAGTATTGTTTAAATTGCAACCACTAGATGGCAACATGATGATAGTTTTAAATCAGTGATTCTCAACCAGTGTGTCAAGGGATTCTTTAGGGTGCCACTCAATATTAGCACTGCTAAGCATGCATGATTCACAAGATAAACCCAGAGATTTCAAATAAGGATCTATAGTGTCAAAGGGTTTTTGACCTGTTGCAACAGAAGAATTGCTCTATTATTTTTCCATAGTCAAAAAATGAGTGAAAGCCAAGAGCTGCCATTTTTCAAAATGTGTCCTGAGTCTAAGGAGGGATGCCTCAAGCGTAAAAAGGATGAAAACCATTGTTCTAAATAAAAGAAAAATTGTTTAAAATGCCTAAAGGCTGTATATCTTTTATTGAACCTACTGCATGGTTGAGCTATCTGAGAGCTCATCTATGTCTATCCCAGGTGAGACTTGAGGAAGGGTACTGTGATACCCAAAAGCTCATCTATGATAATCCTAACTATGAAGTTGGTCCAATAAGATATTGCCCACCAGAATTCTTGCCTCATTTATTTCCTAGATTATCAAGGCAACAACCTCACTTCAACTCACTACCATACCTGTTGGGGGAAGATTAGAAAAGGAAAGACAGTGACCGAATTCAGATTAGCAACCAAAATCAAGGGCAATAAGTCGTCCTTCTATAGGTACATAGATAACAAGAGGAAAACCAGTGGAAACATGGAACCAGTGCATCTGGACACATGATCACCAACACCAAGGAGAAACTGAATGCCTGAATGAGTACTTCGCATCTGTATTCCACCAGGCTAAGACTGATAGCCTGTCGACTGCAAATATGACACAGAACAGTTACAGTAGGGATGATCACCTACCAACAGTCCATGTAAAGCTGGTAAGACCAGCTAGAGAGGCTGGATATCTATAAATCACCAGGACCAGATTAACTCCATCTGAGAGTGCTGAACAAACTAGCCGAAGTCATTGCAGGACCACTGGTCTCTCTTTGAGAATCGTGGTGCTTAGGAGAGGTCCCAGAAGACTGGAAGAGAGCCAATGTTGTACCCATCTTCAAGAAGGGGAGGAAAGAGGACCCAGGAAACTACAGGCCAATCAGCCTGACTTTAAACCCAGGAAAAATCCTTGAACAATTTCTCAAGGAGTCCATATGTGATAAGCTAGTAGAAGGCAAAATTCTGAACGACAACCAGCACAGTTTTGTTGCGGGTTGGTTATATCTAACTAACCTCATTTCCTCCTGTGACCAGGTTACTCGCCACCTGGATAAGGGAGATGAGGTTGATATAATTTACTTGGACTTTAGGAAGGCCTTTGACTTGGTGTCCCATGAAGCTCTCAAGGTAAAACTAGGGGACTATAGGCTCAACAATTCAACAGTCAGATGGGTGGGAAACTGGCTGCGAGGTCAGACCCAGACAGTACTAATACAGCCTAAAAGCCTGATTTACTTTAAAATTGCATAACCTATTCAATCAACTTTCAATACGATGTCAAGGCTCTTGAAAGCAGCGGTCTGGTACTGAAGTCAATTAGAAACTTGTGACAATATTTCTCAAAGTCTAATTTTGTCCAGAGGCAGCTAGGGTACCTACAGACCTCTTAGGCCCCCTCTACGTGTTACAGTTACTATGCAATTAACTGATTAATTGCACAATTGAGACCAGCTCAAAGCATCTATCAAGCCATAAAAAGGTCTAACCAGGTATAAAGCCAGACCTCGAAAATGTGTTCTAACTTCATAGCTGGTTGCTATCCAGCTTCAATTTGCATGTGTGACAGCATGTGCCTCTGTGGCAGGGAACTCCACCACCTGACAAGACTCCCAGCGCCAGCAGCTATGGACTTGGGGTCCTGGCAGTCACAGGGTGCTGCTGTGATTTTTCAGCCCAGAGGGTACATGGGGCACCCCCACAGCTGGGAGACCACTACAATCTCCCAGCTGTGGAGGGCATTCCATGCACCCCCAGGACTGGGAGATCCCAGCAGAGCACTCCCGTGGCTGGGAGACTACAGCAGTGTCCCATGGCTGCCAAGACCCAGAGTCTGCAGCTGCTGGGCCTGAGAATCCTCTCAACTGTGGGACTCCCAGCCTCAGCTGTGTATGGTACTATAAAGCTAGAACATAGTTTTGAGGTCTAGCTTTATAGCTGGTTGGACCTTTTTATGGCACGATAGGTACTTTGTACAGGTAGCTGATCCCAGTTAATTGCACAGTAACTTAATGACTCTGAAAGTCATGCTAAGCTTGGGCCTACTCACAGAAGTTAAAATACAGAATACTGATGCTAGCTCCATAATGCAAGAGGATGAGAGTTCATGGCTACGCCATCTGCGAAGGAATAATGAAGTATCTCTTTCAGCTTATCTTGCTATATTCAGGATGATTTCAGGCAGGCTCATAGTTGTCTGGTGTGTAACCATGTGAAATGTCTATCCTTGATTAATTAGTACAGTAAATATTCCTTTTGCGGTTAACTTGTGTTTGTATGTAGGAAGAGACATTCTTCATATGCAATAAATATCTCCTCCTGATTTAGTCCAAGGACATGCATGTTTTTCTTGGTTGTTAATCAGTTTCTTAATATGTTCTAAACTGGATAAAGCTCTTGTCACTGAAGAAGGTAACTCATTCAAATTAGAAATTTCTGATAACCAGTAATGAGCAGGTTTTTCCTGTCAATTACTGCTTGGGACTCTATTAATTTACAGAACTAAAAGAATGCTCTGAAGATGCTAAACTAAGGGTATAAAAAGGTGGTAAAACAGCAAACAGCGTGCATGCTTCAAGAGTGAGAAATCTCTGACACCAGTTGCTGAAGTGCCCGACTTACTCAAGAAGTTGAAGAGAAACAGACTGCCTCTTCGTCACCCGTTTGGCGAGAAATCATCCCCTTACAGCTAATTACTGGACTTTGATTTGGTTTGGGCTCACTTGACTTGATTTTGAATACTTGGAGTATATAAAGCCTTTCTGTCGCTCAAACGAGGTGTCGTGTCAATCCCTGGGCTAGCCCAGAATCCTAGGTTTTTATTTGCTAACAAACTGTAATATGTAGAGGGGGACTAAGAGATCTGAAAGGACTCTCAACTACAGAAGCTTGTTTCTTACTGGAGCAGGAGCAGCTCAAGGTCAGGCTCCCTCTGCACTGGCAATAAGGCATGATGAGAACTAATGCGTGGCCCCACAATCACACTTCCTGGCATGCACGTGTGACATGGCAGGAGGTGCGAATGTGAGCATTGCACATTAGATCCCATCATGTCTTTACCTGCATGTGTAAAGAAGCCCTTACACAGAAATCAAAGATTAAGAGAAACAGAGCTGTGGGACAAGATCTTGTTCAACACCTACATGGAAGCAGAACCAAATATAACTAAAACCATCCCCCCTCAGTCAGAAAAAACACTAGAACTTAGGCTGATCATCTGTTCAAAGTGGATAAATACATACCAAAAATCTACGTGTATATGTTGAAATATTTACTACTAGGCCCAACACACCATTCTCTGATTTTTACATTTTATAAGTTTCTGTATCAATTTCATGGAAAAATTAGTAGAACAAAGGACATTTTAGTAACACTACAGTACTGCTTTAAGGAACTTGTTAATTAACTAAAAATTAACAAACTGCTTTAAACTGGCTATTGTGAACATAAGTATTTACAACACAAGATGCACCCTATTTAATATACTGTATAAGCCACGGGTGGGCAAAATACAGCCCACGGGCCATATTCAGCCCTGCCAATTGATCCTATCCTGCCACCACTGGGAGCCTAGGAGGGAGGGCTGCACCCCACGATGCTATACTCTGCTACAGCTGGTGCCAGGTTGG